TATGAATATGAGGCGAAAGTGGAATTTTGTTTAAAGTGTCACCAAATCTGTCTACTTCGATATTAGCTGCACAGATGAGCGAAATTCCGCAGATAAGGAATTTGGGAATGTTTCTGTTCTCTATTGAATCGTATTGATTTATTAAAAGTGCTGATTGGGAACTTTTACCTAATCTGTTATATATGTGAAATATTCATGTGAATTAGTTTTTCCTCTTTGATTTATGGATATTCTGAGTGACGTTCAAAGAGTGTCGTCTCACTGTTTGCTTGTGGGTGGATGGATGGATTGTCTCTGGCAGCAGTTCTCAGGCTTTGTCGCCTTGTTAGACGCAGCAGCAGAAGTTCGTGAACTGGCAGTGCGACGCTGAGTACCGCGGCTCCGACTTCACCACCGCCGTCACCCTCGGCAACCCAGACCTGCTTCTCGGCTCTGGTAGGCCCCCGATTCCGGCTTCGGGGAGCCTGCGGGTGGCGTGTATCTGCCCGTGCTGAATGCCCTGCTCTCTCTCTCTTAGGTATTATGGTGGCGCACTACCTGCAGTCTGTTACCGCCTCGCTAGCCCTGGGGGGGGAGCTTGTGTACCACTGCAGACCCGGAGAGCAGGGTGCCGTGTTGTCCCTGACTGGCAGGTACACAGGTGAGCCTTTGCGGTTGTCTGGGGGAGAGAATGATTGGTTTTAACGCCACATAAGCAGTTTGCTCTTATGTTATTGCACAATAAGCTATCAGTAACCGCACTTTTTAAACATCATCTTTTGGTGTTTGTGCAGACTAGTGCTTTGTGTTTTTGTATCTTTTAAGCTGCAACATTGAGGCTGTGCTCTCTGTTTCAGGCACTAATTACATCGCCACTGTAACCGTTGGGGGTGCGGGGGCCCATGCGTCATATTACCACAGAGCCAATGAGCAGGTAGTGTGCTGCAAAACGCGCGACATGCAGCTTGACACCTCAGCGCTAGGCAGCACTAGCCGATCAGCGAGTGCCATCGCTCTGAAGTGGCTCCGCACGGAACGCGAGCTCATAAGTCCCTTGTGGGGAAACTTGACAGCAAGACGGCACATCTGTGTGGCTTTATGTTTGTCGCTCTGCTTAAAATGCCAATCTGTCAGTGTCACATGCTGATGTCATAGACACAATTAACACAATTACAGTTGCCAATGAAAGGGACTGGACAAGCGTTTCATTTTTGGCCAAGCTTTTTAGCATTTTATGTATAATGTCCTGTGCATTTCTCACTGTAATAGATGGATAAGATTAGAAAAGTATTCTCCAAATTGGGAAAATGAAATGTGCTTAATTTACGGTCCTGAAACTGCAAAATAACTCCTTTTTTAAAACGTATATAAACACGGCATTTATTTCTAAATGAAGTAACCAGCTTATTAAGATTTACAAGCACATTTAACAACATATGTGCTAAAATAAATGGGATAGAATCGTCATTTTTATAATCACAATGTAATTTTGAGTTCCCCTTGGCAGCAATGGCGCTGCGGTACTTTTAAAGTCGCCCTTCTTTTCAGAACACGCCAGGCACAAGCCCCGCCTTGCTCGCTCTCAATGAGAACATAGTGTGTCATTCATCCCGCTGTCTCCTATCGGTTCATTTAAAATTAGTGGCTTTATATGGTCATTTTAAGCAGTATTCAAAATCTGTTTACTACTATTATTATTCTTACTATAGTTTTCTATAAGCAGTCTGATATTTAGGTTGTACACAGTCTCAGTGTATGTATGTGCATGACTATGCTTGTGTGTATGTATATACATGTGTATGAATATATATAATACCCCCCCCCTAGCTGACAGTACCTGCTAACTCTTCAGTAGTTCACTCTCTCATTCACACTCAAGATGCAGATTCCTTAAATTGGCTTGTACTTCAGCTGAACTTGCCCCTGTCTTGGTGTCGCAGTTGCAGCTGGGGGTGGAGTTCGAGGCCAGCTCCCGAATGCAGGACACCAGCGTTTCCTTTGGCTACCAGCTGGACGTGCCCAAAACCAACCTGCTCTTCAAAGGTACGGCAGACCAGAAATGTTTAGGGTGCCATAATGAGTGCGTGTGTGTGTCTGTCTGTGTCGATCTGTGCCTGTGTGCGTCTGTCTGTGTCGATCTGTGCCTGTGTGCGTCTGTCTGTGTCGATCTGTGCCTGTGTGCGTCTG